GTGTAATATTAGCTTCAGATATACAATATAGTCATTCAACACTTCTGTACAATACCTGGTGCTCATCATAACAAGTATACTTCTTAATCCCCATCACCTATTTAACCCATCCTCTCACTTACCTCCCCTCTGGTGACCATCAGTTTGTTTTCTATAGTTAAGAGCCTGTTTCCTCATTTGCCTCTCTCTCTTTTCTTTCCCACCATGTTCACTTGTTTTGTTTCTTAAATTCCACATAAGAGTGAAATCATATGGTATTTTTCTTTCTCTGACTTACTTTGCTTAGCATAGTACTCTCTAGCTCCATCTCTATTTCTTCTTGAATTAGTTTTGATAGTCTGTGTTTTTAAGAATTTGTTCATTTCATCTAAGTTGTCTAATTTTTTGGGTGTATAAGTATTTATAGTATTCTCTTATAATCCTTTTTATTTCTATAAGGTTGGTAATAATGTTACATCTTTCATTATTTATTTCAGTTATTTACATCTTCTCTAATTTTTGATTTTGTTGATCTCTCCAAAGAACTAGTTTTGGTTTCATTGATTTTCTCCATTGTTTTTCTATTCTCTATATAACTTATCTCCACTCTGATTTTTAGAATTTACTACCTTCTGCTAGCTTTGCATTTAGTTTGCTCTTCTTTTCTGGTTTTTCTAAGGTGCAGAGGTAGGTTACTGATTAAGATCTTTCTTCCTTTTTAATGTAGGTATTTACTGCTATAAATTTCCCTGTCACCACTCCCTTTACTGTATCCCATAAGTTGCGGTATGTTGTGTTTTCATATTCATTCTTCTCTGAGTGTTTTCTAATTTCCTTTGTGATTTTTTTCTTTGACCTTTTGTTGTTTAAGAGTGCATTGTTTGAGGGGCGCCTGGGTGGCTCAGTCCTTAAGCGTCTGCCTTTGGCTCAGGTCATGAGCCCAGGGTCCTGGGATCAAGCCCTGCATCAGGGCTCCCTGCTCTGCGGGAAGCCTGCTTCTCCCTCTCCCATTCCCCCTGCTTGTGTTTCCTTTCTTGCTGTGTCTCTCTCTGTCAAATAAATAAATAAAATATTTTTTTTAAAGAGTGCATTGTTTGACTTTCATGTCCAGTTTTTCTCCTTTTATTGAAATCTAGCTTCATTCCATTGTGGTTGGAGAATATACTTTGTAGGATTTCAATATTTTTATATTTATTGAGGCTGGTTTTGTGGCCTGTATAGGTTCTGTCTTGAAGAATGTTCCATGTGCACTTGAGAAGAATGTGTATTCTGCTCTAGAGTGAAGTGTCCTATATTTATCTTTTAGGTCTAGGTTTAAGGTATTGTTCAACACCTCTATTTTCTTATTAATCTTCTGTCTATATGTTTTGTCCATTTTTGAAACTTGGTTATTGAAGTCTCCAACTATTATTGTACAACTATCTAATTCTGTCTTTAAGCCTGTCAATATTTGCTTCATATATTTGGGGCTTTTTTGTTTGGTATGTATGTTTAAAATTGTTATAAATTATTGATGCATTAACTTAAAAAATATGTACAAGATAATGTCATTCTTTGTGTCTTGTAACAGGTTTTGGCTTAAAGTCTAGTTTGTCTGATATTATAGCCAGCCACTGTAGCTCTCTTTTGGTCATTATTGCATGGAATATCTTTTTTCTTTTTTTAACTTTGAATCCATTCTGCCAATCTCTGCCTTTTGATTAGGGAGTTTAATCCATTTCCATTTTACATAGTTACTTATAAAAGGGATTTACTACTGCTGTTTTGCTATTTGTTTTCTGTATGTCCTTACACCCTTTTTGCCTTTCATTTTCTCCATTTCTTCTTTTGTGTTTAATAGATTTTTTTGTATTGTAACATTTTTATTCTCTTTTCATTTCCTTTTGTTTATTCCTTTTACATATTTTCTTAGTAGTTACCCTGGGGATTAAAATTAATGTACTGGGTCACCTGGGTGGCTCAGTTGGTTAAGCATCTGCCTTCAGCTCAGGTCATGATCCGAGGGTGCTGGGATCGAGCCCTGCATTGGGCTCCCTGCTCAGTGGAGAGCCTGCTTCTCCCTCTCTCCCCTGCTCCTGCTCTATCTCTCGCTATCTCTCTCTCAAATAAATTCTTTAAAAATATAATAAAATAAAATTAATTGACTAAATTTATAACAGTCTGATTTGAATTGATATCATATTGTTCTTCTCACAGGTTACATCTGTAATACATTGTGTGCCCTATAACATATTTATAAATACCTTTTTATGCATTTGGTTTTTAAATTATACAGGAAATAAAAAGGAGTTACAAACTGAAAATATAATATACTGGCTTTTATATTTACCTCTATAGCTACCTTTACCAGAGATCTTTATTTCTTCATAAGGCTCTGAGTTACTGTCTTGTGTCCTTTCATTTCAGCTTGAAGAAATTCCTTTAGCATTTCTTTTTTTCATTTATGTTATGTTAATCACCATACATTACATCATTAGTTTCTGATGTAGTGTTCCATGAACCTTTAGCATTACTTGTATGGCAGTTCTACTGGCAATGAACACCCTCAGGTTTTATTTATCTAAGCATGTTGTAATTTTACCTCCATTTTTGAAGGATGGTTTTTGCTACATAGGGAATTCTTTATTTTCAGTGTTCTTTTACTTTTAGTACTTAAATATGTCATTCCACTGCCTTCTGGCCGCCATGGTTTTTGATGAGAAATCAGCTATTTATTGAAAATCTCTTCTTTGTGTTGAGTTGCTTCTCTTTTGCAGCTTTACAGATTCTCTTTGTCTGTGTCTTTGGCAGTTTGATAAGAATGTGTCTTGGATCTCTTTGAGTTATCCTACCTGGAGTTTATTGAACTTCTTGAATGTGTAGATTCATGTATAATCAAACTTGAGAATTTTGCAGCTACTATTTCTTAAAATATTCTTAGAAAGAATATTTAGGGACACCTGGGTGGCTCAGTTGCTTAAGCGTCTGAGTCTTGGTTTCGGCTCAGGTCATGATTTCAGATGACGTGAGATTAAGCCCCACGTCAGGCTCTGCACTGAATGTGGAGCCTGCTTGAGATTCTCTCTCTCTCTCCAACTGCCTCTCCCTACCCTCCTCAAGTGCACTTTCCCTCTCTCAAAATAAATAAATAAAAATATTTTTAAAAAATATTTAAATATTCTTTTCTGTTTTCTTTGGTACTTCTAAAATGTATATTTTGTTCAGATTGATGAATGTACCATAGATCTCCTGGCTCTGCTCATTTATCTCCATTCTTTCTGCCACTCATACTGGATAATATCAATTTTTGTATCTTCAAGTTTATTGATTTTTTTCTTCTGCCTGCTGATATCTGATGTTAAACACCTCTACTGAAGTTTTAATTTCAAATATTGTGCTTTTTAGCTCTGGAATTTCTATTTGGTTCCTCTTTGTACTTCTCTGACTTTGTTGATATTTTCCTTTTGTTCCCATGTTGTTTTTCTGGTTTCATTTAGTTCTTGGTCCATGGTTTTCTTTAGGTCTTTGAGTATATTTAAAACAATTGTTTTGAAGTCTTTGTCTAGCTTTTTTGCAATGGGTTTGCCACCAGAACACAGGTGTCATGAAAACCACCACTAAACCTAAACCAGAATGGGAAAGGAAAAGACTCATATCAACATTGTCATTGTCATCATTGAACATGTAGATTTGGGCAAGTCTACCACTACTGGTGGTCATTTGATCTACAGATGTGGAATCAACAAAAGAACTATCAAAAAATTTGAAAAGGAGGCTGCTGAGTTGGGCAAGGACTCCTTCAAGTATGCCTGGATCTTGGATAAACTGAAAGCTGAACATGAATGTGATATCACCATTGAAAATTTGAGACCAACAAGTATTATGTGACCATCATTGATGCCACAGGATACAGAGACTTTATCAAAAACATGATTACAGTCACATCTCAGCCTGACTATGCTGTCCTGATTGTGGCTGCTGGTGTTGGTGAATTTGAAGCAGGTATCTCTAAGAACCCGCAGACCCATAAGCATGTCCTTCTTGCTTACACAGTGGGTGTACAATAGCTAGTTGTTGGTGTTAACAAATGGATTCTACTGAGCTACCCTACAGCCAGAAGAGATATGAATAAATTGTTAAGGAAGTCAGCACCCACATTAGGAAAATTGGCTACAACCCTGAAACAATAGCATTTGTGCCAATTTCTGGTTGGAATGGTGACAACATGCTGGAGCCAAGTGCTAACATGCCTTGGTTCAAGGGATGGAAAGTCACCCATAAAGATGGGAATGCCAGTGGAACCACACTACAGCTCTGGATTGCATTCTGCCACCAGCTCATCAAGCTGACAAGCCCTTGCGTCTGTCCCTCCAGGACGTCTACAAAATTGGTGGTATTGGTACTGTCCCTGTAAGCCGAGTGGAGACTAGTGTTCTTAAACCTGACATGGCAATCACCTTTGTACCAGTCGATGTTAAATGTTAAAACTAAAGTAAAGTCTGTTGAAATGCACCGTGAGTTGGGCGCCTGGGTGGCTCAGTTGGTTAAGCGACTGCCTTCGGCTCAGGTCATGATCCTGGAGTCCCGGGATCGAGTCCCGCATCGGGCTCCCTGCTCAGCAGGGAGTCTGCTTCTCCCTCTGACCCTCTTCCCTCTCGTGCTTTCTATCTCTCATTCTCTCTCTCTCTCAAATAAATAAATAAAATCTTTAAAAAAAAGAAATGCACCGTGAAGCTTTGAGGGAGGCTCTTCCTGGGGACAATGTGGGTTTCAGTGTCAAGAATGTATCTGTCAGGGTGCCTGGGTGGCTCAGTTGTTAAGCATCTGCCTTCGGCTCAGGTCATGATCCCAGGGTCCTGGGATCGAGCCCTGCATCGGGCTCCCTGCTCCACGGGAAGCCTGCTTCTCCCTCTCCCACTCCCCCTGCTTGTGTTCCCTCTCTTGCTAGATCTCTCTCTGTCAAATAAATAAATAAAATCTTTCAAAAAAAAAACAAACAAGAATGTATCTGTCAAAGATGTTCGTTATCCTGAACTATAGAGGCCAGATCAGTGCTGGATATGTACCTGTGATGGATTGCCACACAGCTCACATTGCTTGCAAGTTTGCTGAGCTGAAGGAGAAGATTGATTGTTATTCTGGAAAAAAGCTGGAAGATGGTCCCAAGTTCTTGAAATCTGGTGATGCTGCCATTGTTGTTAGGGTTCCTGGCAAGCCTATATGTGTTAAGAGCTTCTCTGACTATCCTCCTCTGGGCCATTTTGCTGTTGGTGTCATGAGACAGACAGTGGCTGTGGGTGTCATCAGAGCAGTGAACAAGAAGGCAGATGGAGCAGACAAGGTCACCAAGTATGCCCAGAAAGATCAGAAGGCTAAATGAATATTATCCCCAATACCTGCCAACCCAGTCTTAATCAGTGGTGGGAGAACGGTCTCAGAACTCTTTGTGTCAATGGACCATTTAAGTTAATAGTAGAAGACTGGTTAATGATAGCAATGCACTGTAAAACCTTTGGACGGAAAGGGGAATTTTTTGTGGACCATTTGTGTGTGTGTGTGTGTGTGTGTGTGTGTGTGTGTTTGTGTGTGTGTTTGTGTATGGCAATTTTAAGTTATCAGTTTTTAAAATCAGTACTTTTTATTTTTTTTTAAAGATTTTATTTATTTATTTGAGAGAGAGAGAATGAGAGATAGAGAGCACGAGAGGGAAGAGGGTCAGAGGTTGAAGCAGACTCCCTGCTGAGCAGGGAGCCTGATGCGGGACTCGATCCAGGGACTCCAGGGTCATGACCTGAGCCGAAGGCAGTCGCTTAACTGACTGAACCACCCAGGCGCCCTAAAATCAGTACTTTTTAATGGAAACAACTTGACCAAAAATCTGTCACAGAATTTTGAGACCCATTAAAACAAAAGTTTAATGAGAAAAAAATATATAAAAATAAAGTTTTTGTCTAATAACCAGCATTTGGACTTTCTCAGTGATAATTCCTGTCAGTTATTTTTTTTTTCTTAAATGGGCTACACTTTCCTTTTACTTTGTCATATTTGGTTGAAAGCAGAATTTGATTATTTTAAATGTGGTAACTGGAAATCAGACTTTGCCTTTTACCAGAGTTTCCTTGTTTTTATTGTTGAGGGCTGCCGTTATTCATTTGTTTAGTGGCTTTTACAACCTGTTTATGCAGAGCCTCTATCCGTAGTCACGTATGGTACTGAAATCTGTGTTCCTTTAACTTGTGCTCAGATAGTGTTTTGACAGATATTTCTCTGAATGCCAGGAACCAATAAAAGAGAGAGAAAAGGAGAACAAAAGAAAAAAAACAGAAGGAAGAAAAAATATCTCCTGTCTCTGTGCATTGGCTCTGTGTTATGGCACTCCTTTAAGACTTAGCCAGGCCATTTGCAACTCTGCCTTAGCTTTCATTCCCTGCTTATATTGTGCTTGGAGATCAGCTAGAGTGAAAGCTCAAGTTTTTCTTAGGTCTTTCCTGAGCGTGGGTCCTCCCCTGGGCATATACCTGGCTTTTTAAATTCCTCAGTATACATGGGCATTTTTCAATGCCCTATTTTTTCCAAAAAGCTCCACTGCTTTTCCTCCCAGGCTTTTGGCATCTTATCCATATGCCTCACCTCCAGTCTTTTGCCCCGGGCAACTGTGGTTTGTTCATTTACTTTACATTGTTTTTTCACAATGCCTACAGCTCGACTGTCCTGTGTCTTTTCCAGGTTAGATAAAACAAAGATAAATGCCTTGCATCAGTCCTTCAGGTGGTCGCCAGACAGGTTAGAACAGACAAACAATTCTTCGTGAATGAAATTTGCTCTGCCGTCCCTGGTACCAGGAACAAGGGTCCCACAAGTGAATGTGGCTACCCTTCTGAAAAGTGCCACTGAGCCTGGGAGGAAGCTGGGTAAGGACAAGCAAAAGCACCACAGACCTTTTCTACCACTTTTAATTTGTATTTTTCTTGATTCAACATTTATTTGGTTGTTGTAAACCTTGGATCATTTTCCAGAGTTCTGACAAATTTGGTTTTGACAGTTCCTTCTTAATTTTTTGATGTTTCTGCAGAGGGACAGGTGCTTAGAGTTTCCTACTCCATTTCATTGATATCCAAAAAAATTTTTAATACGTTCTTTCACTGTGTTTTGGAAACACAATCCCTTCCCTATTGAGCTACTTTTCACTTTCTGGGCCCTCTACTCTATTTTGTTAATCTGCTTGCCCATCCTTACACTAATATCACACTGTCTTGATTATTGTAGCTTTATGATAAGGCTTGAAATCAGGCAGTGGACGTTTGTTTGGATTGTGTTTAATCTGTAGACTAATCGACATTAACAATATTGAATCTTTGCATGTCTATGGTATATTTATTTTTTAGGTATTTAATTTTTCTTGGCAATGAAAAAATTTACATTTCAGTGTACCAGTTTTATTATTTTTTGTAGTAACTTTTTATAGATTCTTCAGGATTTCCTATATGCCATTTTTGAAAAGAGACAGTTTTACTTTTCCCTTTTCATTCTATTAGTTGTTTACTTTGCCTGTTCTGGATAGGACCTCCAGTACAATATTCAGTAGAAGCAGGGAGAGCAAAGTGGTGAGATTAGTCATTTATGCCTTGTTCCACTTAATAGAAGGAAAGCATTCAGTTTTTTACCATTAAATGTGATGGCAGTTCAATGGTTCTCAATTGGTTGGGGAAACTTTGCCCATAGAGGGCAATTGGCAATGTCTGGAAACATTATTGGTTGTTATGATTGGGGGCTGTTATTGGCATCTACTGGTAGAGGCTAGAGATGTTGCTAAACATCCCACAATGCACAGTACCCCCACCCACCTAGTCTGCATGACAAAGAAGCATCCAGGCCAAAATGTCAATAGTGCTGCTGCTGAGTAACTGTGTTAGTTGTGGGTTTTATGGGCTGCCTTTTATCAGATTAAAGAAGTTACCTTTTATTCCTAGTTTGGTGAGAGTTTTAATCAAAAATGGCTACTAAAATTCTGCATCTACAGAGATGATTATATAGTATTTTATTCTTTTATTGTATTTATAGAGGGAATTATTATCTTAGTCCATTCAGGTTGCTATAAGAAAGTATCACAGACAGGGGGAAAATTTATTTCTCAGTTTTGGAGGCTGGGAAATCCAAGATCAGGAGCGCCTGGGTGGCTCAGATGGTTAAGCGTCTGCCTTCGGCTCAGGTCATGACCCCAGGGTCCTGCGATCGAGCCCCGCATTGAGCCCCGCATCGGGCTTCCTGCTCAGCGGGGGGCCTGCTTCTCCCCCTCCCTCTGCTTCTCCCCCTGCTCATGTTCTCTCTCTCTCTCCATATCTCTGTGTCTCAAATGAATAAATTAAAAAAAAAATCCAAGATCAGAGTGCTGGCAGAGTCAGTGTCTGGTGAAGTCCCCTTTCCTGGTTCGTAGACAGCTGGATCTGGATCTTGCATCAAAATCTGGATCATGGAAATGCACTTGACTTATTTGGGATTTGTGTGACTAAACTCGCTCAAAGAGTCTCACATTGGGAAATGTGGAAAATAATTTTTATGCCTTTGTTGATTATCTCATTACAATTGGGCTGGAAAATACTACACGATATGACTTCACTTTAGCTTGATTACATCTGCAAAGACCCTGCTTCCAAATAAGGTCACATTCTGAGGTGATGAGGTGGACACGAATTTTGGGAGGACTAGTCAAACCAGTACACCATGCATAAGAAAAATTTTTTTAATTTAAATTTTATTTAGTTAACGTACAGTGCAGTGTTGGTTTCTGGAGTACTATTCAGTGATTCATCACATACAACACCCAGTGCTCATCACAACAGGTGCCCTCTTTTTTTCTGAGGTGGGGGCAGAGGGAGAAAGAGAATCTTAAGCAGGTTCCACTCCCAGCGCAGAGCCTGACGCATGGCTCAATCTCACAACCCTGAGATCATGACCTGAGCTAAAATCAAGAGTCAGATGCTTAACAGACTGAGTCACCCAGGTGCCCCACAACAAGTGCCCTCTTTAATACCCATCACCCATCTAGACCATCCCCCACCCACCTCCTTCGATCACCCCTCAATTTGTTCTTTATCATTAAGATTCTCTTATGGTTTGTTCCCTCTCTCCTTTTCCCCCCTTCCCATATGTTCATCTGTTTTCTTAAATTCCATCTGAGTGAGATCATATGGTATTTGTCTTTCTCTGACTGACTTATTTCACTTAGCATAATATGCTCTAGCTCTATCCACATTGCAGCAAATGGCAAGATTTCATTCTTTTTGATGGCTGAGTAGTATTCCATTGGAGAGATAGATAGATAGATAGATAGATAGATAGATAGATATAGATATAGATAGATATATAGATATATAGATACACACACACACACACCACATCTTTATTCATTCTTCTGTTGATGGACATTTGGGCTCTCTCCATAGTTTAGCTATTGCATTCCCTCCGAATCTGTATTTTGGATCCTTTGGGTAAATACCTAGTAGAGCAATTGCTAGATCATAGGGTAGTTCTATTTTTAACTTTTTGAGGAACCTCTAGAGTGGCTACACCAAGAAAATTTTTTATTTATGCTTTCAAAAAAGATACCTTGAAAATATTTTCATTTTAATATCCTTTGGTCTAAATGCCAAATCTAAATAGTCCTATATGCAAATATTCAAATGGAATGTCTAAGATTCATATAGGATTTCCCAAAATTTTCAAAACAAGAAAAGTGGAAGAATATGATATCACTGTTATTTTTTCTAAGATTCATATAGGATTTCCCAAAGTTTTCAGAACAAGAAAATGTGGAAGAATATGATATCACTGTTATTTTTTTCTGATTTAAATTTATCAGAATAAAGCAAATGATCATTACATTAGAAAGTGTTTGGAGGAGGAGGTTTGTGAGACAGTCATCAAACTTTTGCATTCTAGTACATGATCTCCTCACCCTCAAAAAGCCCACAGTTCTGTTGAGAGACAAATTACAATATGGCATGATGAGTGTAATAGTAGAATTGTACATAGAGCACAGAACAAAATAATTATCTATATTGAGTTCTAAAACTCTGTTTGTGTGTGTGTGTGTGTGTGTGTGTAAGACAGAGGCATGGGGGGAGGGAGAAAGAGAGGGTGAGAGAGAGAGACAGAGAGAAAAGAGTTAACTGATCGTTTTTAAAGGAAAAATAAGTAAATCAAAGTTGTTTATTCTATATAGACTAATGCAAAGCTAATCACCCTCACAGTATTGTAATATAGTTCCATCATATGTCCACAGTGTTGATTTATTTATTCCAAACTGTCAATTCTCTGACCAAGTATTCTCTTTTGGATCTGGAGGAGCTGCTAAAGGTAAAGCTCTCATATAGCTAATCGGAAAACTTCAGTGGGGAAATACTTAGAATGTGTAGAATAGTTAACAATACTTATAATAACTTGAAAAATTACAATACCATGAAACAAACATCAGCCTGATTAACTGCTGATTTTGTAACTGAAATAAATTGGTTCCCTTGGTTCATACCCTGCCCCAAGGTGTTTTTTAGACAGGAGAAATTAGCTGTAATAATTTGCAGAAGAAGATGTGCTGTGCTGCTTTGGATTGTTTTTCTTTTTCTTCCCCCTCCCCACCTCTCACTCCATTTGCATTTATTTTTGATTAGGTAATACATTCAGGTAGTTCAAATTTTGATAGTTATAAAAGTCTATACAA